CCTCCATGCTATTCCTTATGTTCCACAAATAAGTGAAACCATATGGTAATTGACTTTCTCTGCTTGACTTATTTCACTTAGCATAATCTCCTCCAGTCCCATCCATGTTGATGCAATGTCTGATGGCTGAGTAATATTCCATTGTATATATGGACCACATCTTGATCCATTTATCTATTGAAGGGCCTTTTTTTTCCTTTTTGTTGTGGGCTACCTTTCTCTATTACTGCATACATACATTCACCATTTATACCCAATATGCAGCCACCTTGCACAGGCTTTTGTTCCTTGCCTTCAAAGAATATGTGTGTGTGTGTAATGTAATCCGTATATGTATGCATGTATGTGTTCATGTATGTATATATGTGTATATAGATGTATATGTATGTGTGTATATATATATATGTATGTCAAAGGGAGTATTTTAGAGCATAGATTACAAGGTAGGGTCTTTTGTTTGACTTACACAAGCTCTTTTTTTAAAGATTTATTTATTTATTTATTTATTTGAGAGAGAGAGAGTGTGTGTGTGTGAGCAAGGAGGGGAGGAGCAGAGGGAGAGGGAGAGAGAGAATCCTGAAGCAGTTTCCCTGCTGAGTGGGGAGCCTGACATAGGGCTGGATCCCAGGACCCTGAGATCATGACCTGAGCCGAAATCAAGAGTCGGCTGCTTAACCGACTGTGCCACTCAAGACACCCTTAACTTACACAAGTTTAAGAGCAAATTTAAGTCATTATTTCCAAATTGCTTGATTACAATCAAAATCTGAATTTTCAGCCTCTCCTGAAGAAGACCTGACATTCTTGTACCACTGGCTTTTAGATCCATTTGGCAAGAGCTGGCTGGAGCTGGCCTGCAGCTACTCCAGTCTGACAGAACCCGTGGTGCCAGGTCACCCCAAACTCCATTGTTCCCCAACATTAAGGCATTTTCTATGGACCAAGTACGGCTTTTTTTCTTAAAGGTGCTATGGATTTCTTTGAATTTCTCTCTGTCCCCATACCTCCCTCTCTCTCTCTAATAAAATAAAAAACAAAATCTTAGGTCAGGTGGCCAAGAAGCTGCTCAGTTAGTCTCTCCCATTAATATCACATACCTGGCCCCTGTGGGCATTAATGACCCCTGTTAGAGGCGGCGGGGGGGAGGGGGTTGGAGGATGCCTGGGTGACAGGGATATTAGCATTTTTTTCTCTTTTGAATTTTAATGTTTAAGCATTCTTTCCTAGGACAAGTCAGGCCCTGGCTAAGCATAGCATTTTTATCTACATTAATTTATTCAATTTTTACAACAACGAGGTGGGTTCCATTGATATTCCTATTTACAGATGATGTCACTAAGGCCAGAGGCATTGAGTGGCTTGCACAAAGTCAATGGCAGATAAGGGTGGATTCTGCATTTGAACCCAAATCTCTATCAGTCCTAAGGGCCCAACTTTTATCCGCTAGGCTGAACTGTCTCTGCGTCTGATTTGTCTCTTTCTCTCCTGGCTGCCGATACCATGGCTGGCATATTGTAAAAATGCTCTGTCAGTGTGGGTAGACGAGTGCAAACAGAGGACCTGGGGTAGGGGGATTGCTTCCATGCACCTGCCTGTGTTCCTGGCCTGCACATCAGCACCAAGACACATCGGCATCCTACAATCGGAGAGAAAGTAGCTGTCTTTCTCTCTGTTCACCCACAGGGAGCAGCTTTGTGGTGAGTGAAGGGAGCTACCTGGATGTCTCAGACTGGTTAAACCCGGCCAAGCTGTCCCTGTATTACCAGATCAACGCCACCTCCCCGTGGGTGAGAGACCTCTGCGGGCAGAGGACGACAGATGCCTGTGAGCAGCTCTGCGATCCAGAAACTGGTGAGCCGTGGGCTAGGCTGGGGATGGAGGGAGGGAGGAGGCAGGCTGCAAGATGGCCTGCCTGCCTTGTACCTGAAGAATCATGGCTTCTGAGCCATGGACAAGGGGTTTGACCTGAAGGCCCATCCGTTCCATTGGCGGTTAAACCATGTGCTGCTATCACTGGGCCAGGGAGAAAGTTCTAGAAAACCACAGAATCCCAGAAGTAGAAAGGACCACAGAGAGCATCTGGTCTGGTTTCAGCAAAGCAAGGTATCTGAACATCATCAGGCATCCCTGAGCTCAGATCCTATCCACCTCTTACTAGCTGGATGTCCTTTTCCTTTTTTTACCAGTTTTACAGAGATATAATTGACATATAGCATTTTGTAAGTTTAAGGTGTATGCTGTGATGATTTAATACATGTATACACTATAAAATGATTACCACCTTAAGACTCATTAACACCCCCATCAATTCATATACCATTTTTTTATGGTGATAATGCTTAAGATCTACCCTCTTAGCAACTTTGAAGTATATAGAACAGAATTGTTAAGAGTTCACTATGTTGTACATAAGATCCCTAGGACTTACTCATCTTAAATGGGGAGATGTTGGTCATAGGGTACAAAGTAGCTGGGTGTTCTTCAGAAAGACATTTCCTCTGGGTACCAGAGAATGAAAACAGCATTTAACTCACAAGGCTGTTGTTAGGATTAAATGAGATAATGCATGGAAAGCCCCTAGTATATTCATTTACTCCTTCATTTGATAGGTATTTATTGAATAGGCAGACACTTCCCTAGGCACTGAGGATATAGCGGTGGACAAAACTGGCATAATCTCTGCCCTGATTAAGTTTATATTCTAAGGAGACATTCAATCTGCACTGTCTAACAAGGTAGCCACTAGCCACAGGTGGCTATTTAAATTTAAATTAAGTAGAATTAAATAAAGTCAGCATTCATTTCCCCAGTTATGTTAGCCATCTATCAAGTGCTGTGTAGCTCCATGTGACCAATGGCTACCTCTTGGACAACTCAGATATAGAACATCCCCAGCCCTGCAGAAAGTTCTGTTGGGCTACAACAGACCAACAGGAAAGTATATGTATTGTGTCAGGTGATGATGCATGCTGGGGGAGAGCACACAGCACAGGGGATGCTAAGCTGGGAGTGGAAGCGGAGCCATTATTACATGCAGTGGTCAGGGGAGGCTTCTCTGAGAAGGGGACATTTGAGTGGGCACTGCGAGGCAAAGATGGAGGAAGCCATGTGACTATTTGGAGGGGACGGCATTCTACGCAGAGGCAACGACAAGAACCAGCATGTTGTAGCAGGAGTTCAGGAGTGTGCCATTAGTTGAACAGGAGGAACAGTGTGGTTGGATGGAGGTGAGAGAGGGGAAGAGTAGGAGGCAAATGTGAAAAGCAGAAGATTGGGTGGGGGTGGCTGCAGGGAGTTATATAGGATGACAAGGACTTAGGATTTCACTCTGAGTGTGATGGGATGTCACTGGAGGATTTTGAGCCCAAGGAGTGACATCATGTGGCCTGCATTTTAACCAGAAGCACTCTGGCTGGTGCATGGCAAATTGACTTCACATTCAAGGGAACTATTATCCCAACGTAGGCAAGAGTTGGCAGTGGCTTGACCCACAGGGTAAGGGGCAAAGATGGTGAAATCCTGGACATTCAGAGGGTAGATTTGACAGGACTTGTTATTGGATATGAAAGGTGAGAAGTATAGAGGGGTCAAAGATGATTCCAAATGATTCAATCTGGACAGTGGATGAAAGGACATCTCTTTCATTGAGTCAGAGGATGCTGTAGGAGGGTTGGGATTGAAGTGAGGGGGATCAGGGTGCTGTTTGGGATGTAAGTTCAAGTTGACTACTAAACATCAAGTAGAGATAGAAAATAGGCATTGGAATCCAAAAGTCCAATTCAAAGAAGTTTTAGCTGGAGATAGAAATTTATGAGTCAACAGCATACACTTGGTATTTAAACCCAGGAGACACTGTCTTATTTATAGTAAATGCTTAGGAAATGGACCATCTCTTCTTCATCGTTGTTGCTCAATAAATGCTGGTTACTAATGTGTACAAATAGGGAAATAGGAGTTAGAGAAGAGAGTTGCCAAGGTCCCAGAGCAAGTTAGAAATGAAGCTGTTCTTGCTCCCAGTCCTGTGCTCTTCCCTACAACTTATATTGCTATAGTCTCTCTGGAACTTCATCCCTTTCTTCATTAACAAGAGTCTGACCATCTTGCCTGGAAAATCCATTGCATGATGCCCATGGGGCAGCCCCTGTGCAGTGGCCCAGGTCAAGGGTGTGCTCCCTCCTACCCCAGCTCTCCTTCACTTCTCCATGGGGCAATAGCTCAGGAGCGAAGGGAGAGCTTCTCCAGGCTAACCCTTGAGCCTCTGCAGAGCTGCACAAGGATTTGGCTTTCTAACCACCATCTCCTCTTATCCTTTAGTTGGGAGCCTGTTTAGACACATTTTTGCAGCCTTTGCATAGGCCTATTGGGGAAGCTATTTGGAAAATGCAAAGCAACTCTAGTGTACCATTTGACCAGACAGCTGAATCTTCTTTCTCTTAATTAAAACATTTAGGCTTTAAGGCACTGTCACCCTAAGCAGTACCTTTTTATTCCCAACACACACACACACACACACACACACACACACACACACACACACTCTTGATTATCGTCACACAACAGCCAGGAAAGCCCTTGTAGAATTATGTGCCTCCGGATCTGATCCTGTACATTCTCTTTTTTTTTTTCTTTTTCTTTCCTTAAAAGGTAGGCAGGATTATGGTGGGAGGGATCACCACTTTTCCCTCCCCACACAAAGCCCCCAGCTAGCAGAGTGGTGAGTACCTGAGGGCCTGACCTTCTGGTTTCCCAGCTGATCTGCCTTCAGGTGTAGGTTCATTGTTTCTGATGATCTTTTCCGTTAGCTGCAAACTTGAGGGCATGATTCCAAACGGTGGGTCATTCAGGAAGGAGGCATGTGTTAGCCAGTTTTGGAAATGATCAACTCTCCTACCAGTATCCCCTAGAATTAAACACACACACACACACACACACACATACACACACACACACACACCCTACAGAGCTGAAAATGCTACTAGAATCCACTGGGTTGACCTTCTCAACTTTATCATTGATGATATTGATAGAGGGCCAGGATTCCAACTCAGGAGCCTGTGCTCTCGATCAATGCTTCTCAAGCCTCTGCAGGTCTAGTGTGGGTTTAAGATGGCACATTTCTAAAAAGCTACCAGCTATTGCTGATGCTTCTGGCCAAGGACAACTCTTGGTGCACCAAGGCTCTAAACATTCTTCCTCCCAGTTAGTCTTCTCATTTTCCACATGAACAAGAGAAGTCCCAGCTGCCATATTTGTTAATTTATTTATCTGACAAAGCTATGCTCATGTCTGTCACTTTATTTTCTACCTCTGTTTGCCACATACCTTGGACTCTAGGTACACTGAGACCTGTAATTCCCTGAAGGCACCATACCCTCTCATGCCTATATCCCTTTGATGGGGTGTTTCCTCCCTCTTGAAATGTCTTTCTCCCCCTTTTACTGGGAGATCAAGGGTTCTTTTTTTATTTCCATTCCATTCAGCCCAGACCCCTGACTCTATTGAGGAGCCCTCCTCTCTGCTCTCATAGCCTCTGTACTTCCCTACGTCATAGTTCTTGTCATTGTTCTTTCCTTGTGTGGGTCTGTCACCAGACTGTAAGCTTTGTTAAGGGCTGGTGAAAGGGGATTCAAAGCATGTGTCTTGCTTATCTCTGTATCTTTAAAACTTAGCCTATTGCTGACATATAATTAGTGCACAGAAAGTCATGAAAGGATGAAGGAAGGAAGGAAATTTATATGCTCCTTGAAACAATTTTATACACCAATTTTTAGTTTCTTCCTCCATATCCACTTACATATGAACTCAGATTAAATATTTCCCAGCTCTAGAGAAATTGGGTACCAGGAACCATCCCAGTAGCCAGACAAGCTAGAAGGCTCTGGCTTCATCCTCGCATTCAGCCACATCCCTAAGAGCACTCTCCTTGCAGTCTTCACTCTGCTCAACTTCACAATAGTCCTCTCAAACACCCCATGCAAAGTTTGACCTTCTGACTAGAGTTCAGGCTCCTTTCTCTACCTGAAATGTCTCCCATTCTCTAATCTCTACTTTGTAAAATTCTGTTCACTGATTACCTCTCTTTCCCTCTTGGTAGAATGGATGACTTCCGCAGTATCATCAGAGTTCTCTGTTGACTACAAATCTGATTAAAACTTGAGTTATTGTTTGGAAATTTGCCTGCCCTACTAAAATGTAAGCTCCTTAAGAGCAGGGACTGTATCTAATTTACTCCTGTATCCTTCCCACCCCAATGTCCAGCAAAGAACCTTACTCTTACAAGTCACTCAAGGCATATATGGATGGGACTATCTACAGGTAAGGAGTGGAAATGGGAACATAAGATCCGTTAACATATTTTCATGGGTATTGACTCAGACCCATTTTGAAAAAATTTATTTCGATTTGTTAGATTCAAATCAAACAAGATTTTCTTAATTCCACAACTCATAAGTCTTGTGTGTTAAGTGCTATGGGAAATCACAGACAAATTGGACAATGTTCCTGCCTTCATGGATTTCACATTTTCACAGGGATAAAAATAATATGCTCATATATAGCTATTATAAAAGACACAATGTGGGATAAATCAAGAACAGACATTAAAAAAGTAGCTCATGCCTGGAGAAAAGGGAGAAATGTATTCTGGATGGGGATTTCAGAAGATACATCATGAAGTGCCTGACCTTTTAGCTGAACCTGGTAGAATCAGGGGGGAGGATGAGTAGGATGGGTCCTTTCACAGAGGGATCTTAATGATTGAAATCAAGAGGAAGAAAGTTTAGAATTATTCCAAGAACCAGAAAGCAGTATAGCTGGGCTGGCATCTAGAGAATGTGCTGCACATGAGGTGG